TAATGGGACAACTCACTATTTCTATGGCCATGTTCAATAGCTATGTTAGTTTACCAGAGGCTACCTTTAGTAAGCGGCCTTAAGAAAATCAAGAAAATACAGCTTATCCAAAATAGGCCATGACCTGGCCAGCTGTATGAGGGCTTGGAGTCAACCCTGAGACTCTTTTTTCAGGTATAGATATTTGTTGGTTCCAGACCAGCCACGAGGCAAGTTCGGAGCAGCGATCTGTTCCAAAACAAATCTTTCCTTCAGATTGTTCGGACCTGAGATTGGAAAGTCACTGCTGGCCCCTTTTCCTCCCATGGCTTTGCCTGAAAGTAAGCTTCCTCAAAATCATCTTCATTCTTAAAATCTCCCATAGATAAATAAATAGATAAATCAGATTGGGGTATCCAACCCATTGTTGGACACCATATTACATGGTTGGTTATAGTATCCCACTCTTATTGGCTATATATCACCCCTATTGTTTTTGGCTATTTGAGTCCTCCGTGTGTCAACTGCTCGCGGTTTAGGCCAAGAGCACCTTGACAAACAGCTTCAAGGGTGTGGAAAACGTGCACTCCTTGGATTGGCAGCTGTCACTCAATCAGATAGAATAATCATGGAATAATGTGGTTAGAACAAGAATTTCACGAAGAAACCACCCATTTGGGAATGGTTTACAGCATCTATTTATGGTGATTTGGGAGGATGGTTCATTATTGTTTTACCCACATTAATCCATTTCCCGTGGAAACAATGGTTTAGGTTCAAGATGAAAACACGTATTCGGGATCGTTCAGGTGGTGTTGAAACAAATTGAGTGCGATGGGATTATGTTACTTGTGTTATCTATGTTCATATATTTTCTGAATGAAGTCTTGAAGAATGAAACATTTATCATAGATGAGATCAGATTTTGAGGTACCTACCATAGTGGTATGTCTTATTGTCTTACTTGATCCCATTTATGATTTGTGCCTGCCCAGTCTTTGTAGGTCTACACTCAGCACAAGACCCATTTGTCAACGGTGGTGGAGTCTTTGATGAAGGGCCGCCTGAAAGAGGCTGCTGCTTTTCTCACGCGCAGCCTGTAAGGTTTGGTTTAGCAATTTACAGTGGGTGATGTTAACTCCAATAACTAGGGTTTATGGTAATTATATTGTAATTATATCTTATATCTATAGTTACTATTTTGATTATAAACCAACTTGTAAGATCTTATAAGGTTTAGCATCTAGGTTTGCGATTGAAGAATGGCTCGGATACCTACTTTACAGCATTTTGTTCATGGGGAAACTCACGTCACACCCCAGAGCCTTGACCCACTTCGGTACCATTCGGGCACATCCTCGTCCCTGGTCCCTGACTTTGTGAAAATCAGCGACAATTTTCAGAGTATCTTTGGATGTTTGCAAAATGGTTTTGTTTCCAACAGCAGTGTGATATATTCTAATAGCGGAACATGATGATAAATCATGGATTTTTCTCGGATCCCAATTTTGAGTGAACCCCAGATGATTCAAAATGACGTGAAATGTATGAGCCAGCGGGAGCTTCCCTCCCTTTCCATTGCTTTGGCAAAGATTTTCTCGTCAAGCAGTCAAGCCGTTCTGTTGGCTCTTTCAATTGTCTCGTTTTTTTTTTTTGTGAGTGTTCCTCCTTTTGTCTATTTTGGTTTGTCATGATTTGTCTGTTCTTTTTTTAGACGAAAAAATCCCACAGTTCATCATGAAATGTGGGTAAGCCTTCCATTCTCACACACTCATATAATATTGAGTCATTAGTCTCCTATTCTATCCATGTTAATATCTCGAGAAGATGGTTGGTTGAAATTATTTCCATGTTAACAATACATGACAATACATGACAATACATGACAATACATGACAATGACAAGACATGACAATACTGACCATTTTGCATGGTAAATGTTCCACGTGTTGATGATTTTTGATGGGTAAGTCATGGTAAGCCTCCATTTCTGGTTGGTTCTTTGTTGTGTTCTGCGCCAGACCAGCTATCCCTACATGCAGAGCAAGGTCTCTGGCCTGACTCTCAGCGAAAGACAAGCTGTGGGGGTACCCCAATAGCTGGATGGTTTACAATGAAAAATCCTAGTAAAATGGATGATTTGGGGATATACCACTATTTTAGGAAACCACCTTCTCTGATGTCTTTTTCAACTAGAGGAGGAGTTCATCAAAATAGTTTGCCAGTCTCTGCCTGTGTCTGTTTTTGTTGGTTTACCCTCTGGTAATTTAACATAGCTATTGAAAATGGCCATTTAGAGTGGATTTTCCCATTAAAAATGGTGATTATCCATATAGTTTTGTTAGTTTACCAGAGGGTAACTATGGGAATCCATTGTTTTGGGATACCTCTGAGGGATTCCCCGCAGTTCCCGTTTGTTTCTGGGTTACCCCTTGCTGTTTTGCCCCAGGCACAGCAGCAAAAGACCCTCCGAGACGAGCTGTGGTGTTTGTGGTTGGCGGTTGCACATACGAAGAGGTCG